TACAGAAATATGCTCATTGATCTGAAGGTGTTCTATTCCTTCTAAAATATGCACTATGAGAACTAAATTATAATTTATTTAACGATAAATAACATGTAGTAGTCTTATAAATGAAAGGACTTACACACTATCGCACCTATGAGTGGACGATAAGTATACTGAAATCTTCGGATGTTTTTTTACCCATGGTCTAAGAAATTATAGAATTCATGGTTAAAAAATTACTATCTCATCAGATGTTTCTCTTCTTAGACGTGCATATTGCAGCTGAAAAATGAATACTGTAATAACCGTGATTTCCCCGGTTTTCTCTTGGATTTTTATATGATTGAAATTAAACACTTCTGCTCAATGAGAAGAGTACATCGGAAGAATATTCAGTTTTATTTAGAAGCCTCCTGGTATCATTCAATAGAGAAATACTTTCCCTATCTACTACATTCACTTGTAAGACCGCGAAGAAATCTGTGCATTATTGTATAGTATAAGCCTTCATGATAATGTCAGAAGTTTTCTATATTATCTCCCATGAATACGCCATTGGACAACATGGAAGAAATAGAATAATATAAGGATTTATGAAGGAATAAGCATAATATTCATAATAAGACATAACCTGATGAGGACTATTCTCCAACAGATACACCGGATTATTGTCGTATACAGTTTGAAGGGAGTACGTACAATATGCCATATGCTCCGCTTAGATTGTAACATTCACAGTACTAGCTGAAATAGATGAGAGAGCAGGACGAGTGGCGCAAATAATCCAATCTATGACAGTAGCAATAACAAGAGGAAGTTATCTTCTCTATAAATCCTGATACTGGATCCAGGTACAGAATGGAACAGCTACAGCAGAAGTATACATTAGACCATTTAGGCGAATTAAGAGTGGCACCAGGATGTGCACCATAACAGCACACGCGCAGAATAATCGTTCATTGGGAAATGAGGAGAATACATAAAAAACCAACATGGCCCGCTTACATTTTTACATGAGCACTACAGTTCAATCTGTACACATGTGTCCTATTACATAAAGGATATTTACCTCATCCTTATAATTTCAGCGGGGGGGGAGGAGAATAGCCACATTATGTCATTCACATCTTTAGCGCGCGAATTATTGAAGGGACAGGATGTATAATAATAAAAAAATATCAGCAGAGTGGGCACAGACACCGAGACTGCATGAATTCTTAGACGAAAGATATTCAACATCATTACCTGGGAAATGAAAATAGATGGTTACAAAATTGTGGAAAATACATATAATGACGCAAAAAAGGAATAGGCACACGCTCACTAGTTATGTGATCTGGGGGGGATATCAGAATCTATTCTATAGATACGGCCAAGTGTCATAAAAGGAAAAAACCGTGAAGGGTAGGGCTTGAGGGCCGCAGTATACCTACCAGCGATGCCTACAAATAAAGATACCGAGTTAATTTAGACCTCACGATTAAATTCTGTAACCCCCGCGCAGTAACAAATTTCATATTATATGGTGTACCAACAATTCTAAGCTGCGTAAAGGGGGGAATAAATTTGGAATGATCAGAGGGAGGTTGCATCTGTATACATAGCACGGCTAACATCCCATTATGTTCACTGAAAACTGCCAGTTGAAAATAGGATAGTCCGAATGGGCCAACAAATTGAGTTAAATGCGAATTGCTATTTCGGAATAATAATTTCGGGAAAAAAACATAAAATTAGGTCACATATATTGCCCGCAGTTGCCCCCTATGTAAGCCGATGCCCTTGAATCCACTATTCCCTTGCTTTACCGAGGTATGTGCATATGCTCGATCAGCTTCGTAAAGATTGGCACGTACGTGTGACTGTATATTCACATGTTTCCCTTTTTCAGTTTAATTTTATGTACGCATATTAGTTAATTCTTTTTTTTTCTGAGTCAACAGATCCTTTTCCAAATTGTATATGATTTTGTTACTGCTTTCCACTTCCCTTCTCAACAAAATAGAATATGCTCGAATGGAAAACCGCGTGCCCTTGAATTATGTATAATAATGCGCCGCAAATTTTCGGTATATTGTGCTATTCAGTGCGGAAATTGCCGGATCGATTAACTTTTAATGATTCCTGCTACTGCCAAAATAAGATTATAAATAAAAAGGTCAAGGATTCTTGCAATTTAGAATATTATTTTTATGCCTCCTTCCCTGATAATCACCAGAGAAATAGAAAAAAAAAGAGAATCCAATTCATGTGAATAGGGCGATCGAGAAAATTGCAATCTCTATGTGTCAAATGAAGACTACGGGGGACACACAAAGAAAGAGAACAACTTCCATGACAACCCTTGAACCAGTAGTTACCCATCTGGTAGAAGTATATACCTATATAATTAGGATGTGAAATACTACAGGAAAGAACACCTTACACTAATTGTAACAACACCGAACGTGGTAACTTGTCAACAATCAACAGGAAAAAATGTGTTATACTTTTACAGAATCAGAATCGGTTGTAAACATGTTGTGGAAATTTTACGAAAAGGAATAAATAAATTTCAAATGATTATGTAGCGTCATGCATAAAATAACAGACGTATATCATAAAACATTATGCCCTAATGCAACAAATAAAATTGTGCATTTTGTAATTCAAGCCACAGCGCTGAATACGAAGAAAAAAAAATTCATCACACCGATTAATATATTTAAGTCCCTACTTACAAATATTTCTCCGTGCCTGCCAATAATCGGGTATACCTTAAGGGAGATGGAAGTTTGCAATGAACTCCTCTCTTATGTGATGAGAAATCAACCCCTATCAACACTTGTCCATATATGTTATTGGAAGTTTCTTCCAGTTTTCCCACCTATCCTTTTTCGCGTGGATTCCTTCTTTGTGAAGATTTTCTCAGGTATGCTTCTCCCTTAGGTCCTTTCGGGTCTCGCTTGGTCATGTTTTGCTGTTCCCCCTCGCATGTTTTCTTTCATTTCCATTTTGGCATCGCTTGATACTCCTAATTTATCCATATGGTTGTACCCTATATGTTTCTTCCTCCTGCCAAAAGGAAAATTGTCCCAGATGTCGGAGTTGCCCCAATGTATAGACTTTATTACAGTCTACCTCGTTAGTACATTTTTCTTTTTCTTTCTCAAATTAACCGATCATTCTTATTTTATGCGTATTAATATCCTCGCATCCAAGCTATTGCGACAATATCAATGTCATCACCACCATTGATATTCCAAGAGGGACAGTACTCTGCATATAATACTACTCGGGGAATACCCTTTGTCTTTATAGAATGCCATTATGGATACATCAGTGCATTTCACAGAATTGTGATCTTCTTATGATGGAGCCCGGAACGTAACTCCTTCAAAAATAAACTACTGAAGATGAAAACACACCCGTGCCATGTGGACAATTCTGATTTTCAAATAATGCAACGCCAAATGCTGAATCCACCACATAATAATATTCAGAGCACATACATTCAATTCACGACTTAGTATTGTGGGTACATCCTTGGGGTGAACATAATAGTGCTCCTTTTACAGAAGCACTACAAATAGATCAAAACGCTTCAAATGATAGTACCCCCTGGTCAGTGCTACACTACGAATAGCAGTATCCCAGGTACCTTAGTACTGTTCCAATTATAGTACTCGAGGGGTAAGTCCTGTCCTGAAATTCTGGTACTCTTAGGATACTAGTACCCTACAAAGAATAGTACTCTAGGCACATGTGTACATTTCAACACAGTTTCGATGCTACTATAGTACTACTGCATATAAAATACTACCCCAGGCATATCCGTACGCTTCACGGAATAGTCCCACCGGCCTCTGGTAGGTTTAATACAAATGTCCAGCAAGTCATTCGTACTTTTGACACAATTGTATTTACGAGTGAGGGGAACTCTTTAAATAATAGTTCTCCACAAACACTAGTATTCTTCACTGAGTAGTGTTGCTCAAATTATGGGGCATTGAAGCTTAAATTTTGAAGCCTTCACATAAAAGCTTCTAGGGGCATCTGGACTCTGCATGCAATAATACTTTAAAGAAATCCTTCCTTTTCCCATACCGCAGTATCATTGAAGTAACTGTACTCATTATATATTGGTATCGCAGAAAGATACACACACTTCACGCAATTACGGTGTTCATATAATAGAATCGTCAGCCGCAATTGCTTCATATACAAGTATTGCAGACACAGCCGTACCTGTTGCACAATTAGGCTCAGCATATACTACTCCTTCATGCAGATTCGTTCTCTTCAAGCAATAGTTCTTTCCAAATGAAAGAACCCTAAATCCTGAGTCCTCTATATAATAATACTCAGGCCACATCTGTCTAATACACAAAATAATACCCCTGGCTTATCTGTACGCTTCACACAATAGTGTTGCATGCTATCGGTACATTTCACACACTTGTAATCCTGGGAGAGTTGTACTCTTCAAATAATAGTACACTATAGGTATCAGAATGCTTCGCCGCTGTTGTGTTCTTCAAATAATAAAACACTGAATCCTAAATTATCAAACCTTCATATAAGACGACTCCAGGACCAGCGTACGCTACAAATGATAGTTTCTCTGGAATGTCGGTACTGTTAAAATGCAAGTGCTCCTGGCACAATAGTACTCTTCACACAATAGTACACTCTAGATATCTGTGCTTCTCGCACATCTTTGCAATTAACACCTTAGAGGTTTCCTTACAATATAGCCCTGAACCGTACACATAACAGCACTTGATGGAGATCCTTACACTTCAAACACTGATGCTGTCCAGAAAACAGCACCCCCTAAAACATAAACTTAATGTAAATTCGCACCTACTTTATTATAGAGTTCTTGCGCAATGTCAGTATTAGTGATCTTTCAGTTATATTGCCTACACAGTCGATAAGCAGATGGATATGGCAAAACGGGACGACCTGACATTCCCGCACCCTCACTTGCACATTATAAAAATAAGAAATCGTAGATGATGTTCTGAAAACGTTGCACCTGGGTTGTGTCCTCTGGTAGGACAGTGGAGTTTTTTTCAAATTGATTGTTGCGCACTTTTTTTTTGGTGCCGCTTCCTACATAATAATGCTTGCGCTGGTTCAGTATCACATTAAGGGCATCGAATATTTTCTTTACTTTATTGGTGAATTTCTTCGTCGGTTTGATTGTGTCCAGCACAATTTGAAACCTTGGGAGATCTATCAAATGTATCAGGTTGAGAAACTCATGAATAGAATAAATAAAAGATGTCAACAAATATTCTATAAAATAAAAGAAGTGCTTCCTATCACTGTAGTGCTTTCTTTGTATAAAGAAATTACATTGACGTTCTTTAAGCACATCTATTAGGTATTCATTCTTCAAATTCAAGAGGATTAAATATTTTAAAATAAAAAGTTGTTCGTAGGAATCTATCCTGTTTAGAGAACACACGACGTTGAAGGTGAATTCTGCCATGAAGTGGGCGAGAAAATTGTACCTCAAGCTGTGGGGAGATTCTTCAATTGTTGGTGGTTCACCATTGGGGGTGCGTTTTATGGGAATGTCATCATTTGTGTTGATTGCTTCTTTGGCTTCGTGCGGTGCTATGATAAAATCGTGTAGGGTGTACTGGTTAAGGGAGTTTAAAAAGAGGGAGTACCTGTCCTGGATTTTTTGCAAGTCGAATGCTGGCTCTCCAGAAGGAGGGTAACCAAAGGGGCGAATTTCACAATTCAACATGTCCTCCCTTTTGAGATAGCACAAAACGCTCAAAAGAGAATAGCAGACGTCCGGGGTGGCTTCCATCTTCAGAATAGACTCACAAGATACCCTATTGAGGAGGGAGTAATATATCTTTACATTTTTACATGCGCTATTGTCACAGAGAAGTTTGAACAACTCGTGCGAGAGGACATTCAAATGGAACACCTTTAAATGATTAATCATTTCCGTAACCCTCTCCATGTTTTGAAAAAATAAAGAAAACACTTCAAGGTATAGTTTTGCATCTCTGTACACGTCCTCATTTATACTTGTGCCATTTTCTATTTTTTCCATTACAAATTTGTTGTTGATAAATTCGCACTCTGTGAGCATATTTTTTAGCAAATGGAAATGAAGATGAATGTATAGGTCGTACGCTGATGTATTCTGACACTGATCTTGGAGATAGGAATTGAGGATGTTATCTTCATAGGTTCCATTTGCATCGTAGGAATGGCCGCCACTGTTGCCTCGGTTTTTGTTATTACTGAATGTGTGCTGGCTGAATTGTGTATTTATGCTGTAAATAATTTTTAAAAAAATTGTTCTGCTGATTATATTTTCTTCATGCAAATAATTTAACAGTAACAGACTCGTGTACATGTTCTTTTTTATGTTGAGGTAAATATTGCTATAATTGTGCGTCAGAATTTCCTTAATTTTTAAATGGGTATCTTCCATTTCTACGGAGAAGTCCTCCTGCTGGGCGGGGCAATTTTGCAGTGGCAGGTTTTCCTCCACCGGATGAGTTTCGCGCGGGGGTAGGCTACGGCTTACGCTACCTCTGTTGCATCCATGTTTGCTGAGTGTACCGTTGTATTCAAGTGGACATTGGGCACCGCTGTGTTTACCTGGATATGCTTCACCGAGGTCGTACCCGTCTATCGACGTCTCGTTCCCCGTGGCTAGGGCCAAATTGCCCATCACCTCTCCGTAATATTTTTCCTTCCATTTTATATTTTCATTAACATCGTCTAGGTGGCCGTCCACATGAGCATTATGATGGTCCGTACTCTCGTGGTTGTCTTGTTGCGACGGGTGCACGAGGTTTTCCAAGTGTATCTTCCTGACGATCGAAACTAACACGTACAAGTGTCTACTATTCAAGAAACAGGAATGGCGAAACAAATGCTCTATGATTGTGTGAAGAATTTTAAAATTAAGCATATTATACTTATGCGAGAGGACGAGCGTGGATATCACTTGGTTAGTTGTAAATGTGTTCAAATGAATTAGTATTTTATTCTGTGCCTCTTTTATTTTTATAAGGTTATACTCGTCTGCCCTGTTTTTCATCGTTTTCATGAGGACTTCAAAAGTGTATTTTTCATTCTCCCTTTGCGCAGGCAGAGAGTAGGATATGTGGGTGCTCACTTTTTTTTTTTTCTCAACGATGCTGCAACTATTATGGGAGTACCTTCTTTGACACCCGCCTTCTTTAGCATTAAGGGGATGTTTTTTCCCCTTCAAAAGATTGAGTACAGTGCGGCAGCTATTTTTCATTTGCATGTTGTGGAAGTGGTGGAAGCAGGGCAAATTTCGCCATGAGGCGGATAAATGCTATATGTGCATGGCATTTAAGAGATTGTCAGTTTTACGAAGAGGAAGAAAAAAAAAGGAAAAGGGTGAATACAAATGTTGTCACATCAGGAAGGGTGCGCATATGAAAGTGAAACATTGAGATGTTCTAACTCCGTTGCACTTTTCATTTTTATGCCTCTACAGAATGATGGTTGAAGTAAAACGTTGCGTCAAATTTTTTATTTTTCAAAAAAAGAAATAAAAATAAATAAATAAAGTTAAGATGTGGATGATTCAAAAGGTAAATCTTAATTAAAAAAAAAAAAATTGATAGCGCCTTTTAACGGCTTCAAAACGAATGTTTTAAAAAAAAATTATTTCTTATAAAGGAACTTAAAAAAGGGGAGCACAAAAAAAAAAAGGCAAGGCCTAACAAAGGTCCATAGATGCACACATGCATTCATATACTCCCGTATACCCATTACTTATGCTTGGTTAAGAGAGAGTTTTAAAAGAATTTGCAGAAGCCTTCCCTGATTTTATGCAGCTCGCTTAATGTTCTTAGCCAGAATTTTATTAGCTGAAAAGGGGGCCAACAAAGAAAAGGAGGGGGGGAATCCATATTTATATGTCGACAAGAGTGGGAAGATATATGATAGAAAAGGTTTTACTCTAGTTAGCATAAACAGAAAAAAGTACACACCGGCGCCGAATTTATACAAGAAAAGAAACAAAGAAAACAAAAAAAAACAAATATGTGTGCGCTCAAAAAATGGAGGAACCAGCTGAGGTTTCGCATAAATAGGTTCGTCAAAGAATAGCGCATTGTTACATCATGTACATAAAATGCATTCAAAAATGGGGGGTGAGGAAAAAATTAAAGGAATATATAGAGCCTTACCTCATCATCGGAATGCGTTCTGGTCATGCTGTTCGTCGGTTTTAATAAGAATAAATTCCCATATATAGACGAATTTTGATACAAAACAGTTCTTACCTTTTTGTAAATGCTTATTAATGTGCTTAGGTCTTTGTTTATTTCATCTGCAGGGGGGAGAGAGAAAAAAATAATAAATAAATAAAATAATAAATACAACTATTTGACTTTACGAATTGCGTGAATTTTCTCCCTTTATGTGTAGGAACACAAAGGGGTCCATCTCTGATAATGTAACATCATCAATCACATCGGCATCACTGAGGGTTGCAGTGTTAGCAGAACATGAGGGTTACTTCTACACACAAAATTGTACGCACTTCACTACGACGGTAATGGCGTAGTATTCCACGCCACAATCGCGTTATGAAAAAAATTACTTAAGTTGGAGATGGTGTCATAATTGTAAAAGAAGAAATTGTAAATATCAAAGCTGCTTATTTTTTTATTCGAAATGTTATTAAAAGAAACGCGCAGCGTCTTGTTGTAGTTCCAATTGTATATACCCCATAAATAAAAATTTACAAATTTGGTGATACATTTTATTACATTTTTTGTTTTTCCATACGTTTCGTCATCCGTGTTTTTCATTTTTGAAATTATTTCCAAGCTAGAGCTAGACCTTTTCGGCTTCATGTATGTGTCACTTAAAAGGTCACTTTTCTTCTTGCGAGTTGTTTTCCTCCTTGTTTTAACTTCTGTTCTGGTTTGTTCTGTTAATTTTTCTTTTTGTTCTATTTTTTTTTTTTTTCTCCTTCTCCTTTTCTTTGTTATCAAAGTTTTCTTAATTAGTTTGAATCTCCTATCGATTTTCTTTTCTGTTTTTATTTTTTTTTCCGTTTTTATTTTTGCTTTCATTTTTTTCCTGGTTTTTTTTTCTGCTTTTTTTTTCGTTTTCATTTTCGTTTTTCTTTTCCTTCTATTTATTTTTAGGTAGTAATAATTCGAGTACGAGTACCCTATCAGGGGGGTTAAAATGAAGTCGTTATCAGGATATTTTTTTTTTTTCACATTTTTACACTTGGGATTTAATACTTTTACAATTACGTTTTTGCATAATTTGTTCACATATATATGCATGACGTAAACGTATAGTAAAATGTTTATGTCTTCTTTGCAAAATTTGTACAGCCTTTCAATTTTTTTAATTTTTTCATCGTCTAGGAATTTCTTTATGTGCTCGGCGAGTTTGTTCTCACAGTAGTCGTTGCAGTAGGCCTGCGTGGTCCTACACATTATGGGCGTGTCATTTTGATTTGAGAGGTTTATGTGTACTGTGAAATTGTAATGATTTCCTTCTTCTGGTTGTTTTTTCACAAGGTTGTTTGTGTTACTCACCTTTGTGAGATACGTTTTCGATCCGTTATCTACATGTTTTGTGTCACTAATTATTGTTTCGTTCATCTGTTCGTTTGAGAAACTCATAATTGCTCCATTCATCGGATCATTCGAGAAGCTCGTAAGTGCGCCGTTCATCGGATCGTTCACTTCGCTAGTTACTCCTCCGATCGTCTGTTCCATCTTTTCGTCGTACTTTGGGCTAGCCTTGAATTCGTTCCTGTCGCATACATTCTCACAGTTCACTGCTTCCTTCTTTTCATAGGAATTTTGGCTAGTTGTTGATTCGTTCTGATAGCTTCTACTGCCGCTATTGAGTGAATCTCTTTTATCGCCCAGAATGTCACTTTTGTAATTTGTAGGTTTTGCATCGTTAACTTCATTGAGGTCTCCAAAATTTTCTTTTTTAAAAATTTTCTCCTCATTTGTAATGCCCATTTGGTCCATGTGCTGATATAAAGGTTCCACTGTGCCTTGTAGCTGTTTAGGATTATCCTTTAGAACTCCCTCTTCAATAACTGCACTAGGGGTGTTACCCTCATTGTCATTTAAGTGTTCCTTATGGTCGCTTATTGTTACTCCATTTTCATCCACATTTTGTTGATGATAGCTGACATGTTTGTGCATCTCGTCTCCGCTTCCTTTACCCACGGAGGGGGGATCCAGATGGCTGTGTTTCTCTAGCTCTTTATCACTTTCAATTAATTTACTCAGAAGTGTCTTATCCGGATCTTCCATTTGATCATCTGCGTCCCCTGTGACTTCATTCATATTTGCACATCCCTGATTGGAATTTCTGTTAGGAGTCTTGTCATCTGGATCTTCTTTTCTAAAGTTCACGTCCTCCCTCTCCTCATTCACCTTGGCAATTACATTTATGTTGTTCTCGTTCACATGCGTGTCCGTCATAATTGTTGTCACCTTTTTATCATCCTTCATGTAGCTATTGTCATGTGCATCTCGGCTTCCATTCGTTTGGGGCTCAGTTCCTTCTTTACCCTCTTCATCATCCTGCTTAAATTTCTGTTTGCTGCTCAGCGAAAATTTAAAGAAATATGCAAATTTCGTAAGGTACCTGTTTGTTTTTTCCTTGCTTATTTTGAAGAAGGACCTCTTTGTGGATGAATCCTGCATGGGTTTGGTTGGGTTATTACCATCCAGATCGTGTGGCGATTTGCAAAGGGGCTTCGTTTCTGGTTTGTTGTTGTTCGCCTTGGTTTCGTTCTCGTGGGTTATCTTCTTTTCGTTGTTGTGGCGCACTTCTTCTCCGTTTTTGTGCCCTGTCTCCTGTTCCATTTCCTTTTTCATTTTGACTTCTTCTAGATCTGGGATCCCCTTAACTTCTTTCACCTCTTCCCCGTTTCTCTCCTCTTGAATTGGTACTACTTTCTTCTTTCTCCCCTTTTGCTTTTTTTTGGTTACTTCTGGCTGCACCACTTCCTTTTTTCGCTTCTTAATTTTTAACCCTCTACCAGACTTACCATCTAGGCATTCTTCCTGTCCCTTTTTCCTTTTCCTAACTTCCCTTCGTGTTTTTTTCTTGGTGACACTAAGCTTTAACGGTTTGTGTATGCCAAGTTTTTTTCTGTTTCTGTTGCCTAGCTTCACTTGTAGTGTAAGCCTTTTGCGCCTTCTTGTGTTTTTCGCTATTTCCCCCATTGGGCCACGCACCCGGAATTTCACGGGCTTATTATTTGTTGCCGCCCCCTTTCGTAAGAAGCTGTGGACCCCATTAGGATTAGGGTTATACATAGAGTGGTAAATTCTCCTCAAACTTTTGTACTTGGATAAAGATATGCTTTCTATTTGTTTCTTCCGTGAGTTATCAACAATTTTGATTATTTCCAAAAGTTGAAAAATGTCCATATCGATGTTTAAGCAAGAGAAGTAGTAAGAATCGTTGAACCAGAAAAAAGAGGGAACTATTAAGAAGTAGGAAAGAATGCTATTTTTACCTTTGCAAATGCTTTTAATGCATCCTCTGTATGTAACCCCCTGTGGGGACTTAAACTTGGCCAGTAGTTTTCCTTTCAATTCGTATTGATACGTTTCTCCCTCTATTACTTTTCTTTTCCTTGTGCACTTTTGGAGGCTCATGTTGTCTTTTTTGTCCATTTTGCGGGAGCCTTCTTGGTCGTCGCTGTAGAGGGGGGAATCCGCTGGTTGCTTCATCCCGTAATGAATGAGATACTTCATCGCATACTTGGGAGGGCGCTTCTTCCCAAAGTTAAGGTTGTGCTTGGTCCCCCAATCAAGGGGGCCCTTGCTGAAATAGTCTACATTACTTGTGTGATGCATATCGTTCTGTTGGGCATCCACATGACCCCCCTTATGGGGCGTGTTTATCTCGTTGTTGTAATCGCTTCCCACTTTACTGCTCCCGCAAATTCCTCTTTGGGAACCCCACAAATGCGTCATTTCCCCCTCGGTGGTTGCATTTGATTCATCCAGATGGGCATCAACCTTGCTCGAGTGGGACAACTTTCGTTCGGTGTCCGCTTCTTTCTCCTTTTTGTACCTTGAAGAAATTTCAATAAAGTCATCATTAGTTATGAGGACATTATTCTGCAATATGATTCGGACGTCTGATTTTTTTATAAAATTTAAGACAAGGTGATCTACATGGAGATCTTTTTCACTTTTATAAATTTTCATCAAATTATTTATCATAACATTTTGTAAATTTACATTGTTCGCGTATACCTTTTTAAGTTCCAATAATTTCACGGCGAGAACGAAGCTGACTTCATTTTCTATGTTTTTGCAGAAGAGAGCTTTGATGAGTGGCCACTTCTTATCAGTAAATATTTTATAATGTTTGAAGGCTTTTTTGTCTTGTAAAATGTATTTATAATTTTCTAATGATTGGACAATATAGAATAATTTACTGGCTTCTCTTTTTTCATCAGGGTTGCGCATTACCCAGTTCCTTATGTTGTTACTATGCATAAAGGCAGTATCTTCTGTGTGCTCTTTTTTTGTACTACATGTTTTTTTCATTTCGCCCTTGAACTCAGAGTTCTTGGCGTTGTTGTTACTGATTCCTGTTTTTGTGTTGGCCTTGTTGTTATTGATACCGATTTTTGTGTTGGCGTTGTTCTTATTGCTACCGGTCTTTGTGTTGGCGTTGTTGTTATTGATACTGGTTTTTGTGTTGGCGTTGTTGTTATTGATACCGGTTTTTGTGTTGGCGTTGTTGTTATTGATACT